GCAGCACGGGGCCTCCTGCTGCTTTAATGGCCTGAGCTGTAATGAGGCATCGAGTTGCCCAGGGAGATAGTGATGGTTCTGGGTCGCCCTGTGTTCAGTACATACTGCATGCTATGGAGGGTTACAGGAGAAAACCGGCTGGTCAGCCATAAAACGAGCATGGAGCCTGCTTCTGCAGGATTCTGGTCAACAGACATTCAAGTTACAACTGAAAACTGATTTCTGTGGTTGCATCAGTTGAAGGTCATCCTCCCTGCGTCGTGCTTGGCTGGTTCCCTCTCACTCCCCTTTAGTTTAAACCATACAGGCATGTTCTAACTCATATTTTGACATATATTTTAAACACCTGATTCACTCCAATGGTTTTCTTACCTGTCAAAAACATACTGCTAACACTTAAAATCCTGTCCTCCCTTTGATTTGTGCTGGGGGCAGTTACAGCTGTCATTCTTACAATACTGGCAGGATTTTGGCAATGCAGTGCTTTTGGCCGTTGCACTTCAGTCATGTTCAGCTCTCACGTGTGATAAACAAAACGCGCCACGTCCTCGCTGTCAGCCCAGCACACAGACTTAAAGATCTGGTACTGACATATTATCTCATCTGCAGACTTATGTAACAAAGTAAAAACCAATCAGCATTTCCTTTTTAAAACATCGCTTTAATTGGACCGTCGCACAGAAGGAAATGCACAGTCTGCTGTGACTCTGACCTCTGACCTCCAGGAACTGAAGCTAAGTGGACTGTCTTTAGTTATTACCACATGTTGAACAGACCCGGGGGTCCAGTTGTCTGCAGGAGTCTGGGACTTCATACAGCCTCATGGCTTCCTTCACATATGGAACAGCCTGTTGTATTGCAGGCGGCCAGTTTTCCGCAGCAGTTGTATTATTGTTTCTGATGCCATCTACACCCCCAAACCTCACTCAGCACTTTATGGCCCTCAAGGAGCTTCACAGAGTAGTCGTGTTGATTTAGGCTCAGGATGTGAGAGGTCGACTGACGCCGGGCTGCTTGTTTTTATTGGACGGGGCGGCTTCTCCTCTGAACCAATTCTCTGCTCACAGTGTCATAAAAGGCCTTAGAGAGATTTAGCATTTTGTTCAGTAGATGCATGTTCCAGGTTCCAAACTCAGTCAGCTCCTGACTGACAGCCTGTTTGTAGATGTTTCACACAGGATGGATGCTAATGGTTTTGGTGACCCCATGACTTTTTCTCTAACAACATCATCTGCCTGTTTCACCTACGTCAGGACAAGTGCATGAAATTTGCATTAATATGGAACTTTTTTAAACGTATTCGTCCCCATGGTCAGTCAGTGACTCCCACAGAATAATGCATCTAAACAACAGTTGGATGGACTGCAGTGATATTGTGCACATTTCTGTGATCCCCAGAGGAATCCTGCTCAGTTTGTTGACAGATTGACTCCTTACTGAGCACCACCATGAGTTCGATGTTTGTGGTTTGCGGTGCCTCCGTCTGTTTGGAGAACGTTGTCTTTAACTGATTTTCTCACACTTTTTCTCCTCATACCTTGAAAAAAGGTTATAACAATCTTCACTGTGACAGTTAGTCCTCTTGTGGTGAGCATGGCTTTCTTGAAAAAGTGAAAGTGAAAATGGAGAACAAACAAATTAGCTGCTGACGTTGTGCCTGTAAAGTTAGCAAGGCAACAATAAACTACTGCAGCAATCAACAGTATACAGTGCACATGCTGTTTTAACTCTAATTTAATCTATAAATGTATTGGTTTTTTTATGTTTTCCCTTTTAACATTCAAAGGATACACACTGTAGGTTTACAAAACCCCTCTGATACTGACTGACTTCCAGACTCAATTTGCACTCAAATTTCAACTCAAAAAATAAAAAGAATTAAACATTAAAATAAGATCCTTAGGTTTACATCAGTCAAGATTCAAAACTGCAACTATACAAGTTAATATCAAAGTGTAACAGGCTTTTGGTTGCTTCTATGCATGCTTTTATTTTGAAAGGACAGACGACTTGTTTCCAGAGGGTCAGTCTTTGAGAGAGAGCCTGGAAGTAGTGCTAGTTTAGATGGTTTTTTGGAGGCGACACATTCAGTCCATCAGGATCATCATCATCAGTGTTTAGACTTTGTTAAATATTTGTGTATGAAGGTTTTAAATATTTAGCTGCTTCCATCCCAGCCTATAATCAGCTGATAAACAGAGACGAAAACTGAAAGTGGAAGATGGACTGTTCAATCATGTAACCGTTTATATGAAATACAGCCGAATGTGGTCCCGAGTAGCTGCAGTTTTCTCCTGTTTGTGTGACTCCGCTAAAACTCCTGTGATCAGCAGTTCTAGGAAATGACTTTTTAAAATGGATTTATTTATTGTTAAGATACAGTACAAGTTAAGGTCCTTCTGAAAGGCTTTTGTCTTGTCACTTTCTCACTCGGTCTGAGAGGAGACAGTCTGCACCCGCTTTGCTGCAAACAAACTGAGCATCCAGACTGCTGACACTGAGCTGAAGCTGATTATGGTTATTAGTCAAAGTACAGGAACCAACAATGTCTGTGGTTGGTGAAATTACAGGTGCTTGGTTTCTGTATTTTTAAGCCATTGAGTGATGAACCTCAGGAGGTTATTTTATGAAGTGGATAAGGAGAGAATGTTTTAGAAAGTGAAGGTTTTAAATGTGGCTGTATAAAAACAGCCAGTGTAAAAGTTAGGCTTATTTTCTGAAGTCATTTTCACTGACAACTATGTCCTCTGCACATTCTCAGGTTTGTGTTTAGAAGATGACATGAACCTGAGAGGACTGTGAATTGCGGATGCTGAGGCTGTTTACTTCTCCGGCTGTCAATCATCATAATCCGATAATAACAGCAACAGAGGTGCTGTCAGAATCATTCAGCCTAGTCAACGTCAGCTCTGCCACACTCATGTTTACTCCTGAAGAGCTTTGAAGGCTGTGAAATCTGCTTCATGCTGTCGCTGTCAACAGAGGTTAGATGCTAATGACTGTGGTGACCCTCAGACGGCTCATCTAATGGCTCTGAAAGGTCAAAATATTCACTGGTGGAAATTTCATGACAGGATCAAGTAAAGTCAGTGTCATTAACTAGTCCATATTCACAGTTTCACAATCTCAAATGAGTCTCGATTCAGAAAAACTTCACCAACAAACCCCATCTCAAATCGGTATGCAAAGTCTTTGCTCATTCCTCAGCTTGTTTCTTTCAGATCGACCTCTGTGCAGTGTTCTTTGTTTGTTTTGACTGAACAGTGTCTCACCTCTTCTCAGAGCTGAAGCTCAGGCAGCTGGTGTGTGATCAGGCAGCACCGCTGCAGAATGCCAACTGATCATCCTGCCGATCATCACCAGCAGTACCAGAGCTCACCATCAGGACCTCGGGAGCATGTGACTTTTTCCACATGATGAACCACATGTTTAAGTTGTAGTTTACATGGAATTAATTCATAACACACAAGATCTTGAATTCTAAAGTCACATTTACCTTATGGGAACTTTCATGTTCAACTACAGCACACAAGATTGTTTTAGCAAGTTGACTTTATAGTGATGATGTCAGGATGTGTGTGCGGTGCTTGTTCTCATGGTGTTATGTTGTTTGTTCTCCATTGCTGCTGAAACACTGAAATTTCCCCATTGAGGGATCAATAGGGTACCTACCTACCTACCTATGAACTGAGACTGAAATCTAAAGACTGAAGGCCAGAGAGAGAATTTCAAAAGCAACTAAACCAGTGAATGTTCCTCCTGAGGACACCTGACAGTTTCCACTCTGGGTGGAAACTGTAAAAGAAGAAGAAGAAATAAAATCTGTGTGTATATTGTTAATTGATTACCAGGTTTGGTACCAGACCATCAATCCTTTAAAGAGAGCAAACCTGGCTCATTAGCAAAGTGGGCTCCTCTGTCCATCTCACTCTCAAAAAGGAAGATGATAAGAATATTTCCCAAAAAGAAACAATTTTTTTTAAGTATTAATGAGCAGGGCTTCGTGTAGTTAAATGAGGTTAAGGGTCACAGAAGTGACCAAACACCCAGGGCTGTGTGATAACTGCATATGAATATAAAGAGAGAGCTACGTCCTAATCTGAAGAGAGAAACATCAGCTCGCAGCGCTCTGATCCTCCAGCAGCAGCAGATTAGTGGTGAAAGTCTAAAACTCGTGTTTGAGTCGAGTCGGCCGCCTGCAACAGTTTTTATAATCCACAGTTTACTCTTTTACAAACTATGAATCATGAGCCTCCAGTTGCTTCTCCTCCCTCCGGACACTGGGCTGAACAGTGTTTGACACTGGGCTGTCTTTCCCTTTCCCACGGAACAAACAGGGACTATTATGGAGTTGTTTGTCATGCGACCAAGTCCCGTCGCGGCTCACTGAGACTAGTTTGACTGACAGCACTGTCGTTAGCAGCATGATGAAGTACAGCCTGTCATGTCAACCTCATTACAGTCATTACCCCAAATTAAACACATGACTGAGACTGAACTGTCTGACAGGTTTGGTTGATTTATTGAGTGTTTGATAAGTTTTTTCTATGAAGGAATAATGTTTTTTTTGTTTTATTTTGTCAATGAACTCCAGTTTCATTTCTCTCTCTAGTATTGCTACAAAGGTTTTTAAGTATGAAGTCAATGTACAGATAAATAATCACAAACCTGGCACAAAATCAGTTCTGTGTGCAACAGGATAAAACACCATAGGCTCCTTTACATTCTACTTTTTACTATACAATGCAGATTTCCTCCAATTTAGATAATTAGCAAAGAAAGTATTTTAAATTAAGCTAAATGAGTTTGACAGTCACACCAGGACACAGGATGGCAGAGCTGGCAGTAACCAAGGTATGTCTGTGAAACTTGTGGAAATTGTGACTGGACAGTGAGTGACAGCAGGACAGATCAGGACATCTACAGGTGTATTTCATATTTATCATGGCTCTTGAGCTGCTGCCATGTGTTATTTTGTGCACCTAATTTGTTATCTGTTCTCACAGATATGAGGCAGAGGGACGGCGGGCTGAGATGAGAGGAGGAGGGCGGGGCATAGCCCGGGGCATCTCACAGTGAACACCTGTCCAGCCTTGATAACACTGGCAGGTGAACTTGTACTTCATGTCTAGGATGTCATGGTTGTTGAGTTGACCGCTGACATATAATTGGGGGCCCCTGGGCACCAGCTTGTGGTGGATGTGGAAGGAGCGTGGGTTCAGGTGCAGGTAAGCGCCTGAGTCCAGTCTCTTACGGATGCACCTGCCATTCTTCATACACAAGGGTTTGCTGCACACAGCTTGGCGGCATAGGTGACGTTAATGACATAATGTCCCAGTGGACCATCAATGTACTTCTTCAGAGTTAGGCAGTTCCGCTAGAGGAGGCAAGAAGCGATGACACTGTTAGGAGTCGGCAAAACTAAAGTATCATAACTGTTGTTTTTTTCTTGTTTTCCAGCAGCAAGTATCATCTTTATATGTCTACAGGGCTTTTTTCCACACCGCACCAGTTTTTACAGGCACAGTCACAAAAAAAAAAGCCATGGCACTGTTTACCAAAGTCACGTATCAACAGGCACAATGTTTCTAAGCTGATAAAACAGAAACAGTCACAATCTTTCATGTCTTTATTGCCTTCCTGTGTTGAGTCTGCATGCTCTGCCTGTGAATGCATGGATATAATAAACTGTCTAACAGAGAAACAGACAAAAGTGACATCAAATGGAAGAAATTTTGGAGTTTGTCAGCGAACAAATGTAAACAAAAAAAGTCACTCTCCATATACAAATGTGCTCTTTAATCCCAGTGGTCATATTACATACATACAAAAAGGAAAAAGCCAAAGGTCTCTGAGTCTAGAGGTATAATGATGATTCATGTTGGGTCCATCACGTCTCTGTAAGAAGCCTTCATCGGGGTGTTGAAATAAAATACAAATGCAGACAACAAATGAGTTGTGTGGATGGAAGGGAGGCAGGGCTACATAGAAAAGGCACTGTAAACATTTACCTACTGTTGTGTTAGCCTGCCTGTGTTTGCATTTTACTTTAGCACCTTCATGAAAGCTTTTCCCCATCCTGGACTTTTTGCCTTTTGATTGCAGACAAAAGCCATTTCTCATTTTTACCTGCGACTGTCAGTTTAACTGCTGAAATTACAAATGTCTTTGGCAGATTTGATCCAGATCTAGTCAGTTAATTAATGTTCACACCATGCTGGTTTGACACTCCATTTTCAGTTGTGTCAGGATATTTTTGAAAGCGTCTTTTAGTGATCATAACTAGATATTCAGCTTTCTGTTTAGGATTTACAGTTAAATCGGCTGTAGCAGAATGAAATCCTGACCGTGTTCACATATAAATCAGATGCTTTTCTTATGGTTTTTCTTTTTAATGTCAGAGTCTCTCTTTCAGGAAACTTTAGGTTGTGGAATAATGACATTTGTATTTATCACAGCAACAATCATAAAGATGAATTTTAGCACATTCTAAGGTATTGTTTCCTAATACTTTGTGGCTTTGTTTGTGCTGCGTACTATAATTAATAGGGCTAATGCCATAACATAATAAACACTCCATTTAATGTTGTTCCTTTGATCTGATTATATGTGAATTTAAAGCTTTGGCGTGGAGGGGTGGCAACTTTACTGAGTTTAGTAGTGAAACATATTTTACAACCTTGCATTTTGCATAAATGTAATCAGTTCAAAGTCAACAAATAGGGCAATATTTTTTGTTAGTTGTAGATTTTACTGGTACCTGTGATTGGGCATACTCTGATGATCCCCAGAGGACGACTCCTGACACTCCTAAGGCGGCGCTCTCTCCAATGGTGTGCACCAGGTCGCCCTGAAACAAGATGACTGGGGCTTGTTTTAGCTGGTACACACTATTCAGCTATAACAGACTAGTTATAGATGCATGCAGCAACCTGAACACATCACTCCTTTTCTTTCACTTTCTCATAATCTACAAATGCTCTCAAAGCTTTAAATACACCGAGGACGGGGCCTAGTGTCATCTCCACTGTTCAGGTTGTTGCGACCACAGGACCAGCTGTTCAACCTCCTGTCTGTAGGCCGACCTCTCACTGTCTCGGATGAGGCCGGTGGCCGTTGTGTCTTCTACAAACTTCAGGAGTCTAACAGAGGGGTCTTCCAAGGTGCAGTCATTTGTGTAGAGGGAGAACAGCAGCAGGGAGAGCACACATCCCTGAGGGTCACCTGTGCTGACTGTCTGCACGGTGGATGTGGTTTTCCCCAGCTTCACCTGCTGCTTTCTGTCCATCAGAAAGCTGGTCATCCACTGACAGGTGGGGGCAGGCACAGTGAGCTGGGTCAGTTTATCGTAGAGAATGTCCAGGATGATGGTGTTGAACACCAAGTTGAAGTCCACAAAGAGGACCCTTGCATAGGTCCCTGGGGAGTGGAGGTGTTGCAGAATGTAATGCAGTGCCATGTTGACTGCATCATCCACTGACCTCTTTGCTTGGTATACAAAGTGCAGGGGGTCCAACAGCAGGTCTGGTTTGTCCTTTAGGTGGGTCAACACCAGTCTCTTAAAGAACTTTGTGACCACAGATGTCAGGGCGGTAGGTCTGTAGTCTTTCAGTCCACTGATGGAGGGTTTCTTGGTAAATGATCTACTATGTTACCATAGAGAGAATAGCTCAGAAGGGTTTATTTACAACATTCACACAAACACAATCGCCAGAGCAAACTACGCAACCATCATGATAGATGGATCTGGTTGAAAATCAGTGCTTATTAAAGATGTCTGTTGGGCTTATTCCTGAAGAATCCATCAAAAAAGTAAGAACTGAAAACTTACCTCTGAAAGGACCACAAACGTGTAGGCATAGAAAGGTCTTGCGTAGACAAACACGGGCAATGTGTAGTCCATACGGGAAATTGATGCAATCCTCATGGCTTCCTTGACTCGATAGTGGACAAACTTGACAGTGTTGGGGGAGGACTTGAGCTCGTAGTCCAGGTAGATGGATGGGTAGAGGGCCGTGCTCTCTTTCCAGAGCCACATCAGATGGTCATTTCTTAGGTGCTCGAGATTGGGGCATTTACCAGTGTACTGCTGTGGGTGCTGTTTGTACTCATAATTGTAGCACTCTGGGAACAGGTAAAAGCCCCACAGCCCATCCGGCCTGCGACCTTTAGCCATGGCCAAAGTCAAGTTTATGAAGGTCTGCCCAGCCATCTCAAAACTTTCCTTTGCCTCCTTCTCCACCCTGCTCTCTGGCCAGTTTGGGTGAAGTTTCCGGATTTGCTCTTTGGATTTGTTGCGGTAAATGTCCTTGGTACCCCAATTTCGGACCCACAGTGGCCTCCAGTTCTCCCAGTCAATAACACCCAGGCCTCGAAAATCCTTATGAGGGATCAGCTTGTCAATGTCGGCCCGGGCCTTATTGAGGTGTTTGAAGATGCTCTGGTTCTGCGGCAATCCACCATTGATGGGGAGCCCTGAGTTGGAGTAGTATGGATAGTATCCCAGGTGCCTGTGGTAGAATATTGTAATATTTGGTCCATTGAGTGTTTCGTTAAGGTTTGCTACAATCTTGAAAGCGCTGAGGTCAAGGTCCACCTTGAATTGAATGTGACAGGACTCAGTAGGAGCATTCCAGATTACAACAAAAGGCCAATGGGGTCTCAAAGGTACCTGGGCTGGCTTCATCTGGCTGTCCTGAGATTGTAGCTTTACTCCAACAACAACACCAAAGACCAGTACTTGAACATGGAGTGCCGTCAGCACCATGGCCCCCGATTTCCTCATGGAGCAATTTAATGGTCCTACACAAGCAAAAGGAAGAGACAAATAAACATATTATAAGCTGCAGTGAGCAGAGATGATCAGGCAGGTCTGTGAGAGGATACATGAGTGATGATCACTGACCAGTAACAACACAATAAAACACAAAGCTTGCCTGTTCTCTGATGCAGCAGACTGTGATGAAAAGGATGACATCCAAACCACAGAGCACCAGAGATGGAGAGGACAGAGAGATCAGTCATGCTAAGCTCTTCCCTTTCCTGTACTTTTCATCACTCAATAAAACTCTAGCCACTAACTCAGAGATGCTTTTACCACAATCAGAGAGTCCGACTGGAGAATTCATATAATGATCTGCTCCACTGAAGACAGATCAAACACAATGTTAATCCATCTACTGCTACCTTTTTGTTGTCATGATTTAATACTCCACTATCAAAGTTTCATGGGATAATTGTGCAGATTTCAGCTCTTATGGTGACAGTGAAGAAATTTAGAATTTGGACATCATCTTCATACATAGCTAGCTAGTTACCAAAGCCATGAAAATCTTGACAAGTGTAGATGAGAGGTTTACAGATTGTTGTATAGGTGGACTTACAGAAATTGTCCTTAAATCAATATGATAAAGGTCAATTGTTCTTAACAACCACAGCTTCCAGTGATCACAGGCAGTATCCATTTTGTTCAGACCCATCCTGATGATCAGGCTAACCGTTGCTAGCAGTTCAAAAACATTAATTGCTGGTTTTAAAAGTAAAAGTTAAAATGTCAATATAAGGTTTATATGGAAACTATAAAGACACACATTCTTTAAAAAAAGTTATATCTGCAAATTTGCACATGACATATGAGTTCAGTGTCCACTAAAGCTTCAGTCCTACTGATGAAACAAAAACAGATTTCTTTGGAGTGATGAAGACACTGTAACCTTCCTCAGATGAATCATCTACAACAAGGCGACTTACAGTAACTACGTGATGACAATACACCCTCTACTGCTGCAATTGTTTAATGTTATCCAACTGGAGTTAGCGTTTACCTTGATGCATCCAACCAACATTCACAACATTAATGGATGGAAATGCATTAATTTGCGTTTTTCTGGACATTTTGTTAACATTTGCTCTACAGGTAGATAAAAGTCAGGCTGCAGACAAGATGAACCCCAGTATTATCAGAATTAAGCAGTTATTTCTCAATGAAACTTTTAAATAAAGTTTGTATTTTATTTAAAACTTACAACTACAAAGTTTAAAAACCCATCCTTGTATATAGACACATAATACCTACTAAAACATCTTTAACTTCTCTGTTGCTCTGCTTTTTATTTTCTCCCCTTGTTATTCTAAAACTGTTCCTTCTAGCTCTTTATGTAAGAAATCCCCACCCCACCCACCCACACGCACATCCATCCTCCCTACCTAATTGCTCTTGGCGCCCCCTTGTATGCAAGTAATTCATATTTAAGTTTTCCAAAGTGAGAGGAAAGACATTGTGATCCTGGTGTTGGGAAACATGGCCACTGAGGTTGCCTCCAAGGACGCCGCGGAAAATATTCCATCATTCTCTTTGCGGGATTGTAACCAGAGGATGGGGACAGGAAACCAGCAGTGGGCTGAGGGTTCACCAACCATTTCATTTGACAAGGTCCTGGCCAGACGCTAATGACTATAATGGCATGAGAACTTTATGATGGCAGTGATCTTGGATGTGGATCAGTGAGTTGAGAGTTGGAGGAGAAGATGTGGGAGGCACTGAACTCTCAGTTAGTTACAAATACATTGCTGAAATGTTTCCCTCTAAACATTTCAAAAGGCTACAATTTATCATTACGTTTTCTCATGTCCAGCTCAGCCTGTCTGTCTTGCACCAATTTCACAATTCTCAGTGCATGATAGTTTCTCTGGTGGTACTGATCCAAAACAAATGGAGTATGGTGAAGCCACTCAGCCTGCCCTCCAAACCACAGAAATGCTCGGAGCCTCTGGAAACACTGTGGCTCCAGATCACAAGAAGGACCCCCCAAACACAAAGTCTGAGTCCAAACTGACACATGAGACTCAGTATGATGTTTGGTCTCAGACAGACAGACACAATGAAATGACAGAAAGAAGCTCAACTAACTGGATCCAGATGAGCTCTGTCATTGTGAGCCAACTCCTATGCCATTTCTATACCATTATGTTTTATACTGACACTCTTGTCACCCAGCAGATGAATAATAATTAGTCTGGTGACAGTCATGTACAGGGCTGTTTTTAAAGCAGCCCGTAACCCCAAAGACTGATCTAGTTAGGTACCGATGTACTTACTGTTGGCCTTAGAAGTTATATTGAAGGTAGGAGGTTAGTTAGACAGACAAACTACAGCTCATTTGAAGCCTACAGAGGCCTTTACACTCTAATCCACACACTCTGATTGTATCTGGTTCCGTACCAGGTTTCAGTCTTGATGATGATCACGTGTGGTTTTCAGGCTGCTGTGTGTCTGCTGCACTTTCCAGATGTGATTTTATGGTTTTGTTAACACCAGCACTCAGACACTTAATTGCGGCAACAACGAGAAGCTGCTTTTTACATTTTACTTTCCCAGTTTTGTCATTGTTTCATCTGTCCACCCATCTGTGTTTCTATTTTTTGTCCCTCTAGAACAGGTTAATGTTACTGCTCAGTTTGAGAAAACTTCTTCGGAAACCTCTGATATATCTGACTTGGTGCTGAATAATTCAAAAGTATCTGAAAAATCATTCAATGGTGGACTCTGCATCTGGGCGGTCAAACAATTAGGATGTCCATGCACAGTGTCTGTTCAGTAGCTTCCACCCCACCAGCTCAGCAGTCATGTGACCATCCTGAGTTGCCCAATGACATGAACGCTTGCATTTCATAAACATGTCATCTTTCCCATCTCTTCTATCCAGCGTTTATGATATGAACACGGCAAGAGGATTAGAGGGTTAGCGCTAGGAGGAAATGCTGTTTGTGTCCATACTGTGAGTCAGGACAGTCCACCCATCTGGCTGGGAATCAGTTTTAAACTCCTTCAACCCAAGCATCAAAGATCCACCATCATTACTAGAATACGGACAAACTTCCAGTGAATGAATGAAAGAAAAGGCAGGAACTAAAGGTAAAAAACAACCAAGGAAATAGTGATTTCTTACTCTTTTTTTTTATGATGGAACCCAATTAGATGTTGGGTAAAACATTTCAACAATAGGAATAACAACAGGTTCATTATAAAACTGACATACCTTCCTGTCCCTGCTGACAATCAGACCTCCTTTAGATGAGATGCAGAAGTTGTTTGTGTGAAAAGCTGCTGAACTGTCTCTGTCCTCCCTCTCTGGGGTCCCCTGGATGTTATTGGGTCAGCTATTGTTGGCCTGGCCCCTCCTCATCTGTGCCCTTTCATTGAACAGCAAATGAAGGACAGTAAACAAGCTGCGGCACATTTTAGGGTTTTAAACATACTGTAGACTACAGTTACCTGGAGCAGTATTTAGGAGTTTACCCACAGAGTATCAACCAAGTGCATTCCCTACTTGCTGGATAAAAATGTTTGACCTTCACATTGTGGACTTCATGTCAGTGAGGATGTGGTACTGGAAGTCATGTAAGCTTAGTGACTGATGAGTGATGAGCTACTCTAATCAGTTTTATTTAGGTTTTTTTTTTTTTTTTTACAGTTTTTAGTATTTTTGCAGGACCTTCACAGTTGCATCAGGGGATGTTTCACTGTCTCACTGTTTTTGATTGTACTCAATAAGACAAGGTGGGCCTACAGTATGCCATGGTTATACTGCATGTCAAGAATAACATGGACATCTGAGACATTTGTTTACTGCCAGACATATGTATATTACAAACATGACCTTTCTCCTTGCTTGTGCAACTTCCTATAAGGCCCAGAAGTCTGTGTTCCAGCTGTAGAAATACTGGAAGTGCTGAGCAGAGCAGGTGGCAGTTAGACATAAACACAGAGATGGTCAAACCATGGTATATGGCAAGAACTAGCATGCAAGGTTTTAGACTTTTTCACATCTGTATTAAGCTGTATTTAGGTGATCAGATGGTAATCAGACAGCATGTAACCTCATAAACCTCTAGATCAGGGGTGGCCAATTCCAGTCCTCGAGGGCCACTGTCCTGCTTGTTTTCCAACTATCCCTGCCTGACCTGCTGCTGATTACCTGGCTCAGGTGTGTTCAGCCAATCAGAAGCTGGAAGATATAAACAAATTATCTATCCTGTCCATCCAAATCATCTCAGACACATTAAAATGCTGTAAATGTGCCTGAAATACAATAATGTATCCGTTTGTATGTATTGATCTACTTTTGTGTGCTGCTGCTTTACTTGAGCCTAACTCTATTTTAAGTTTTGTGTAACCTTTCTGTGTTTTCAGGGTTTTTAAACAAGGTTGTAGTTCTAGATATGACAATGTTCGAAGGTGGACTGAGAAGCAGGCCATCAAAGCAAGAGGGGAGACAGTGGTGTTTAAATATGGAGATAATGGAGCACATTTTCAGGCAGCCTCAGCTTGAAGACATTTGTGATGTTGCCCTTGGATATTTGTACCAACAGTGATAGAAATAGTAGTGTGAAGAATGAGAAAAGAGAGTTTAAGAGAGAAACAACCACCACACACCTGGCCAGTCGCTGCATAAAGTGGTTGTGACTGTCGGAGTGCATAATCTGTGAATGAACCTCTGGATAGGAAACAAAGACTGTTGGACATGATGACTCCTGTCATGTTGTTCTGCAGCAGTTCTTAATAGATTGCATGGACAGGCAGAGAAAAGAGCCACAGAGGGGGATTCTGGGAAGAGGGCCTCATTTAATGTGCACATCCTATTGTCTAAAGATTTTTGTTTAAGTGATCTGTTGGTGATGCAGAAAAAGTCAACAAATCCTTTACTGAACTAAAAATGAGAGTGCCATAGTAAAACTGATCTGCAGCAAAGAAAGCAATATCTTTTCACTTTCTAAAATAAAATTTTGATTTTAAATGTTTTTAATAAGATTATGGATATTTTAATGAAATAATGTCTTTATGCTTGTGTGTAAAGTCAGTAATGTAGACTGTATATAGTGTGGGCAGCCATTCTGATTGGTCAAATACATACTTTAACCAAGAGGAAAACAAGTTGTCATCAACAGTTTGATTTGTTCCTACAGTCTCTGGGCTCCTCACTTACTACATAGACCGCAGCTGTCAGGGGAGCAGAAGGTACTTTAAAAAGGCTTGTGAACAATGTGATGTTAAACTGTTTGACAAAAAATATCAATTAAAACTCACATTGAAGGTTGCTTTAACAGTAACCCAATTCAAAATCAAAAACTGATTTTGTGTTTTAGGGCTTTTAACTAGCCTATTAAAGTTGTTTTGATCAGACCATCTTTAAGTTGTTGGCTGTATGTAAGCTCACTTCGCCCAACTGTCACCGGTTGCTTTTCATTTGTCGCTGCTCTGTAAATCGCCTAATGTCTATTACAAACCTTATTTCCCATCTCACCGTCTTCCCACTCTGCTGGAGGTTGGACAGCTGTGCCACCTAGTGGTACCCTCCATGAAATACATTAAAATACAGTGTATTATTGAAATTGCAGTCTGTTACGTCTTCAGTAAACATGTGGCATGATTCGGTTAGTTTCAAATGGAGTCGGGGTGGGGTCGCTGAAGTTCATCCCTGGACAGATGATTGGGGGCTGTTAATGGTAGGGCTGCTGGTTCGATGTACGACTTCTGTTACTGAGTGACAATGAACCCAAGTTTGCTCCCACCACACATCTTGAACAGCCTGACCTTAAAGGAGTAACAACATATAAAAATAAAAAATGTATGTAGTACAATGTGCAAAATCATAAGTAAAAGTAGTTATGATGCAGTTCACAGTTCATGTTAATATATGTCATATTATTGGACTATAATTATTGATGTATTATTGTGCACATCGCATTTAATGTTGCAGCTGGTAAAAGTGGAGCTAATGTTAACTACCTTATATGTTTAAAACTTGAAGTACTTTACATACTAGGTGGTAGCGTCAGTCTTCTGCAGACTCTCATAAAGCTGTGAATGGTCCTGTAGCTCCCACTGTTTGGCCTCTGTTTGCCATGTCTTTTTTTGGCTTTTTAACTTCAGCAGAAAGTAGAAGCAGCTGGTCTACAAATTCGAGTTTGTGTTAATACTACTGATGGGAATTAACCCAGCAGCAGGTGGGCAGGACCTGCGGGCGCCAACCTCCACCACTGTCTGTAACTTTGCTGTTTTGTTTTGGTCTGATCAGCAGGTGAAGAAAGTGCAGCCTGCAATAGGGACAAGTATTTATCTCAGGAGTTGGTGGAGGATAAACCACGGCTAAACTAAGAGAATATTGGATTTACATTCATTTGGTGGACAAAAGCACAACTTCAAATGAATGATGTCTTGTTCCATATTTGCTATGTGAGCAAGTATTTCCTAGCAGAACGTATGACAACCCAGCTCAAATGCAGAGGGATGTACCAACCTGAAAGTCTGTTACACTACTAAATTTGCCTCATCAACCTGTTGTGTTTAAAGGGTTTTTACTTTTTCTAGAGCTCTCTTGTCAACTTGGAAACCTCAAGAACAAGAACGTTATGTTATCTAGTAAAGCAGTGAGCTTTCCTAAACAGTAAACTGCAGAAGAGATGCAAAAGGAATGGTATTTTTCTAGAAGGGTATTAAAGATACACAGTTGAGAGTGCAGGTCTCTCTTAGTCAACAGTGGGCCCTCTTCACGTTTTAATACATTCAGTTTATCGCCTGTAGAAATGTAGATGACCGACATCTCATTTACATTCTTACGTCCACTATCTGGCTCCTCCGTCTCTACGTCACCCCATTCCACGCGCTAACATCCGAGCCTCCCTTTCCCTCCGCAGAGCTGCGTTTCTGCTGCTAAATTGGGCCGAACCATTTTGTCACGGTAACATTTCAGCTTCTCAAAGACCCAGGAATATACATTCTCCACAGCTGTAACTTAAAGAAACAAATTAATGACATTTTTAGGTTGGCTGCCAAACTTCACCCTCTTATCCATATCATAGCGGATATTTCTCCAGTTGGTCCAAACCTACACCCCTCTCTTCTCTTGCTTTAAAGTGGTGTGCTCCGTCTTGCTGCCATGTTGGAAGCACATATCGATGCTCCAGCTACTGGAGTTACCGAATGAAAGTTCAGAGTGTATTCGTCTTTAGACGCTTAACGGGGTCTTATTTTTTGTTGAACGACAACCGCAGAAGTCACGGTTATTTCATAAGCAGGAATAAGCGTAGGGAACTCCCGGCACCCCTCCTCCGCCTTGCAGTCAGGAGTCGGACTCGGCGGAGATGATCCGGTTGCAGGCCATAGCAACCAGCCCGCATGGATTTTCTGTAACCAGTAGTGTTTGCTGAGCCTGTCTAGGGATAACCGCATTATTTCGGGGTTAAACTAGAAGAAACCAGAGCCATGAACAGCCACCCTCCGCCCCGCAGGATAGCTAACGTTGGCTCCCTCCTCCTGACCCCACAGGAGAACGAGTGCCTGTTCGGGTACCTGGGCAGGAAATGTGCCGTAAGTTCTCCCGTTTGTTTACCACCTGCAGGTTCAAATAAGGTGCAGGCGGTTTCACCTAGACACCAAATAAAAACTTCATCCTATGCTTTTCCCTCTAGTTTACCCATATCAGTTGGTATTAAGCAGCAGAAATCTGTTTTGACACCAATGTGGCTTTCAAACCGGGGTCCCGGTTTTACGATACAACCCGTGACCCTCCGGACTCTGTGTCGCTTGAACAGCTTGATAACCGTTACAAATATGGCGACCCTGGTTGTATTGGTTTGGTTTGATTACATTGGTGATTTACATGTTCATTTATTAGTGAAAACTTGGAAGCTGGAGTTTTATAAACTCAGGGACTAACGCTAGAAAACTAAAGCAAAACGGTACTAACAAAACAAAATGTTTGGAATAGACTGCTATTTGGAAAATAGTAATTACTAAATATATATATAACACTTGTATACATTTTAAAATTATGAACATTATTGGAGCAGCCATTTGTTGTTCACACTTCAGAGTTTTCTGTTAAAGCTGAGAGAAGTAGATGATGATTCTATCAACAGATTCATGGACAGTGGCAACAACTGGAAAAGTAACTGGTTCTTCTGTGATCATAAACTCAACCTTTGGTTTGGACTGTTGGCCTGACAAAAAGCGGTGTTAACTTATTTAGGAAACTGATTGCTATTTGTCACCATTTTCTGGCTTTTCAGGCCAAAGGTTAAAGAAAATAAATGGCAGTTTGTCACTGAAATTGTTTTTTAGTGACATTACTGTTCTAAGTTATTGCACTTTTTAACCTGGAAACTCAGGAACACCTGAACATTGTTTTGTGCCATTTGCATCAAAACAAAGTAGCTACAACCTCAGGTAAGGAGCACAGCTCACATAAAATGTGTGTCTGTAGTTCAGTCTGATCTGTTTGGGGATGATGTAACATGATGGTGCAGGACAGCTCAGCAGGTTTTAATGGTGGCTGCAGCAGGTCTCAAAGGTTGAACTGCAGGGTCTGCTGCAAGAAGTAGCAGTGTGCATGCCGGGTGAAACACCTGAGATCAGGTCAGAACAGTTAGTTCAGCTAAGACTGGTTTAGGTAGATCTGTACAGCAAGGTCGGGTATGGAATCTGAATCCTTTCTAGTACTGACCAAATGTGTCCATAGACGCAACTATCAGAAATGGCCATATATAGACTATTATTCAAAGTACTTGCACAATTGATTGTGCTTAGACAGGTTGAATTGAGAATTTTGACTTGGCCATAAAGGTTTCTGTAGGAGCACAGGTTTATGTTTCTCAAACTAGGGTATTGATTTTTATTCTGCAGGTTTCCACCAGCTGTCATACTGAAGAAACTGAGTTTATGAGGCAGTTACAACTACTGTCTCACTTGCATGCCCACCTTCAGTCCTCTGAATAATTAAACACTGAAATAAACCACCGAACACACAAAAACTGAGCATTAAAAATGTGGGTATACTGTAATGCCCTATTTTATGTGAAACACCATATTTGATATTTAATCCAGGACTAACTACAGGCGTTACCAGTAAAGTCAAGTGTAATTTAACTCGACGATTGTTTTGGTCACTAGTGTAAGTTTCAGTTAAAGACAAGCAGTTAGGATAACTAGTATTCAGATTTAATCGCCTCCTCCTTTTCATAAGTCAGATATTTGTGATGAGAAAGCTAAATCTGGTGACACGATGATTCAAATCAGGGGTATCACAATTGCTGTTAGGTTCAGTTATTCAATGTGATTGTTTCTTAAGATAAAAAGCACTTTTTGAGAAAATATTAGATCTAAGCCTCCTAATGATTTGTGACTGATTTGTTAATCTGGCTTTGTGGAGTGCCCTTCTGCTTCGACAACTGCTCAGTGGGGGATTTATCCTGAGGCAGATATTATGAATGAAGACTAGGCAAGCACTAAATGAACTAGTTTGGATTTGTTACTGTTGAATGTTTTTGGATTTTCTTGACCTAACCAGTTATTCTCTACAAATTTTAAAGATTGCAGTTAGTCCCTTAAGCCATAATTAAAGACTGAGTTAGAAAAAGGATACGTTGACACATTTCAGCATTATCTGTATATTACTGTAGGCCAGGGTGTGCAGCCTTTTCACTACAAACTGTCAGTTTTAAAATCATATTCTTGCAACTAACCATTGCATTGAGTTAATTTCTATGAATATTAACTCGTATAGGCTTGAAATTTGCTGCAGAGAGACTATCCGTGTTGGGTTGTAACAAAAAAAATCTTTTCATCAAGTTTATGAAATAGTCATTTAAAAAATGTTTTCCAGGCCAGAGGGGCGTCTTTGAATGTCTTTTGTCTGACAAACAGTCCAAGACAAAGAAATTCTTTTGACTATTGACTGTTCTTTGCAGCTCTAAATCCACTACAGTCGATTATTGAGCTGACTTTGGGTTTTAATGCTGCGCTTCTGACATGCAGTCATAAATCACAGAGGAGGAAACCAGTCCTGTGGCATTTCCTTTTTTTCTTCCCCAGTGGCTGGAGTTGCTTTCTGCCGCAAAGGGAAGAATCCTGGCAGAGGATTTAACACAGTGTGACCTCTGCAGAAACCTCAAAACCACAAACCAGGACCATACGTTACTGAGGACAGCAAATGGACTCAGATTCCTGTACTACAAAAGTGAAGGTTAAAGACTGTGGAGCAATGTAAGATTTGCAGTGACTGAAAGGTTAAAGAGCTGAATTTCAACTTTAAGTAGTTCACATTGTAGGTCTTTGGTTCTTGTTACCATGGCTAACTCTGAGAGACGAGACAGTCCAAGTAACTTCAAAACAGTGCTGATTTATTCAAAGGATCACAGGTAAAATTAACATTACACCCTCAGGTATCTTGCACCTCCAAACTGCTTGCAGGCAGATGTAAGATGAAAGACCCTGAACCCACCAGGCCTATACATTATATCTCTTCGGTTGGGCTAGCCCCGTACTACACAGAAACGTCAACCGAGACGTCTCTGTTACCAGCTTTGCAGCTGGACATAGCAGTAGTCAAAACATGAAGTAAATCAATGTGTGTGTGTGTGTGTCTGTTGATTAAGTGGTGTGTAACTAAAAACATTCTCACACGACTTCTAGTAACATGTCATGATATTAAACATAAGAACATATTACGGCTAAGGCTACAGTTATACACGTCATAATAATAATATTAAACACCCTGTCTGCTGACAGTCATCAACTCTTCTCTCTAGTTATCCTTGACCAGATGTACCCTGTAGAAACTCATAAGCATGACTAAGCATTTAACAGTCTAACTAGACATCCTATCTCCACTAAACATTTCTAATACATAAAGTATCTATCTAATATCTATCTGACTAAAAATACCTAACAACATCCATATTGACTGATCAGTTAAAGAGGTTTATATATAGATTCCCTGATTTAGGACAATGCGGCAGGAAAGTAATCTTAAACATGCAACAGTTTCTTTGGGGGGGGCAGTGGAGTGTTTTGGCCGGACAAAATCAGTCACGTGATGACCTCAATCCATATGATAGTGTTTTACTGCCAAAGACCAGCCCGTTGGTAAAAGCCCTCCAAAGAAGAAGGAAGTGAAGTCTGTGGTCCAGACCTGACTTAGCTTCTGGGTCTTTTTTGTGTATGTGTGTCATTTGGACCCGTGAAGGGAAATCTTAATGCTGTGAGATGATAGACAGCAGCATGTTTCTAACTTCTAACACAAAGGGATAAACCAGTAAGTAAACACCTCCACTTTTAAAATGAAATTTAACACTTTGACTTCATGGTCGTGTGTGTATGTGTGTCTTTCTCTCCCTCTAATGTCCTGGTGTCCAAAGCCATGGGAAGAATCTGTTCTTTTGCACATTTGAGAGTCCATTGTTAAGATATTTTATATTCAGAAGGTCCCAGTGTTCCCTCAGTGACCAGCAGGTGTGTTCTGTCGACAGTCCTTATCACTGCTGAAAGGTTTTGTAGCATGTCAATTTCCACTTCGTCATTGGCTGCTCTGTCACACGTGGAGCTTGGAGGCTTTTAACAAGGAACCAGATGTGTCTGTATAATCTGGGCAAAAAATTGAGAGTTCACAGCCAAGCACTTAAGATTCTCCTGACTGAGCAACTTCATTGCCTCTTTCATAAGTTTATAAGCATTCTTTGATGATCACCATGCTTCCTCTGTGTGTTCAGACCCTGTGTTCGGCGGTGGTCCAGGTGTACAGGGCCGAGCGGAGCGGCAGCTGGGTGAAGAGATGCTGTGGAGTGGCCTGTCTGGTTAAAGACAACCCACAGAGGTCGTACTTCATCAGAGTGTTTGACATCAAGGTGAGTGGGGCCATCCTGTAAAGCTCAGTACCAGAGGAAACAGTAGAGTGAAACATTAAGTTGCAATAGTTTGACATGTTGGGGAAAGAGGCTTTTTCACTTGCTGACTGAGTGTTGCATGAAAAGACTGACACCACTCTGTCATAAAAACTATGCAGTATTTTTGTCAAAATGTGAGACTTTTGTTTAAAAATCTTTTCAGTAAATCAGTTCATTGTCCTCCTCACTCTTCATCTGTTTCGCTGCCTCTACAATATGTGGATTGTGGCAGCACTGCATCCATTCAATATAGGAAGTCATTGAGGAAATTAATATGGTGCTTTAAAGATTATGCGCAACCCTAATGGACTAAAGTGAATCACCAGCTGCTGATCTGTGCTTACTGTCTGATACTATCCGGGTATCTCAGTATCTGAGGACAAACTATGCCATGGGTTTAAAGTTTTTTAAATGCAAATTAACCTGGAGAACAGAAAATATGCTACAGATCTTTGGGGTACTGGTGTTGGTCTTCTACCAGATGCATCACTGCTGATGAGCACTGCCATCAGAAAGTCAGATGAAGACTAACCATTGGAAAAGTGACTGATCTGAAAAGGAGAATTATGTGAACTCACTTTCTGCAAAAACAAACTGCAGTGCATGTGTCCAGAACCCTGGAAGCCCAACGGGCCTTACTATTTACCTGTGAAGCCAACCTTGTGTTGAATCTGAGGTAGAAACACCAGCTACAGGGCAGCTAGCTTGAGGCAGGTAACAGTGCTGGTGTTAGCAGCTACTTTCAGAGCACATTAACTTACAACAAAAGCTATTTCATTTGCAAGGAAGCACCTGTATAGTGTTGTTAAAAATGAGACTGATTCTGGAGCTGAGGTACACAGTAACAAGTCTGCGGCATTTCAGTGAAAAGTGCATCCCAGTGCTGTCTAATAAGAAGTGAAGCAGCAGGTGCACACAGTGCCACTGTTTACTTTTGTTGCTAAGAGCTAGCATCCTGTTTTATTTGCTTTTTTGGATGTTGTTCTGATTTGAACAACTGGGGCAACTGTGGTTCAGTGGGTAGAGCAGTCGTCTCCCAACCGGAATGTCGGTGATTTGAATCTCGGTGCCTGCAGTCCACATGTCGAAGTGTCGAAGACACTGGCAAGACACTGAACCCCCCAGTTGCCATGGTTAGAGCCATCGGTGTGAGTTGGCGCCACAGATGGCTTCCACAGTTCTTTACTGGTAACAAATTCCTTGTGTGTAACATACTTGGCCAAATAAAAGTGATTATCCTATTATCCTTAACAGTAACATTGGGTTTATGTGTTGAATTGTTGACCATGTATTGTGATATGGATCGAATTGTGTGAGACGGAGAGATGCACACACCTAATTTTTATTGAAATGAACTGAGAGCAATGATTATCTGATAGGAAGGAAATCGGTCTATAAACTGTTTGTTTTCTCACTAACTAGCAGGTGATTTCATTCTGTGTTCAGTCTGCACAGTGACAGATTTGGGTTTTTAACCTTCAAGGGGAATCTATTCTGATATGTCCTTTTCTATCTTGTGTTTTGGCAGGAAGGAAAAACTATGTTTGAACAGGAGCTTTACCACAACTTCTCCATCAGCAGCGCCAGACCCTACTTCATCTCATTTGCAGGAGATGTACGTGTACACTGCTTTTATGACTATCTCAAAACCGAAGTATCCACAGCAGCTGCTCTCAGTGATGAGGCCCTCCTATTTAATAAAGTGTGATCAACACTGAATGTGTTTACACAGTCAGATTTTCACAGGGAATGGAGAAGCACCCGCAGGCTTTTTAAAACATTGTTGTTTCCTATCAGAGAACTTCTGGAAGTTCAAAAAAGATCCCTTTGTATAAAAAGTGCACAGCTCCAGCAAACCAATAAAGGTAGCTCAACTAAGCAGCATTTTATTTGCATAAAATAAATAAGTTGTCACTATTGAGTTTATACCTGCTTTGGTATACAAGATGTGAAGACTTAATGCTGTGTAATCTTTGGGTTGAATAGTTTTTATTTAAAGAAAGATGGCATTTTAATAATCATTTTCTTCTTCTTAGACCTGTCAGATCGGTCTGAACTTTGCTAGTGAAGAAGAGGCCAAAAGATTCAGAGCTGGCATCAACGACCTGCTCAACCGACGGCAGCGCAAAATCGGTCAGTTTCATGTTGTCTCCTTCCTCTTCTTCTTCAGCCTGTGTGACTTCTCTTCTCTATCTGGAGAACTTGCCTCATCTTTTGCTAAAACCCCCTGACTCTGGTTCTGCCTTGCTCATGTCCAGGCTGGACCAGGGAAGATGTGCAGGGCTTATAGAATGAAAGCAGTCAGCCCAGCAGCTAGAAAGTGTTTTGGTTTCCACTGAATCTGAAGAAGAAAAACTTTTGGCTAAAGACAACAACACGGAACACCTGTGTTAACCAGCAAGAGCAAGTTTTGCTTACACCCACCTGTATATCCATAATATGCCAACCTGAATCGATGTGATTGTGCATTTAATGTGGAGGTCCTTCTCACCAATGTAAATTATTTCAGTAAAACATGAGGTATCTTCATTAATGAATTCAAACAAAATCAAGGACCGCAGTTCCTGAGGCCACTGTGCTCCTGGGAGCTCTGTGCCTCACCACAGTCTGATCACAGAGGTCTACAGCCAGTTCCCTGGACTTCATGTCTTCAGTGTGAACTGTGGGACCTTATATACACAGGTGTGTGTCTTTCTAAACTCTGCCCAGTCAGCTCCGCTTGCTACAGGTGGACATCAGGTTCTAGACACATCTCAAGGAGGTTAAAGCAGACGGGAAGCAGCTGAGCACAGTTTGGAGCCACAGCAAAGGCATTTGTCAGTGAGAAATTTAAGTTTGTGATTTTGTAAAATAAAAATTTGTTAAAAGGAAATTCTAACTTGTATTTATAACATTATTTATGTAATGCCGACTATCTCACTTCCTTGAGTAATGTAACTTAGATAATTCGGTGCGTTAGCTATGTTAGCAGTTTCTTTAGTTCTGAAATATTTCTAAGTACTATAACCGAGCAGTAGATACAGGCGTTGCACCTAAACTTTCAGTGGTGGAAAGCCCTGTCATAACAGTGAGGCTCCTCTCTGGCTTCCCTCCATCTCCTCTCAGCGCGTCGGCCTTTTGAAGTGCACTGCTCACACTGCGATGATGACTAAGGGTTCAGAGGCTCACAGCACCAACACACAGAAGGTTTTCTGGGGGTTGGTTTATGTCAGGCACAGTCCAGGTTTGAGACCTTTTGCTCCTCCTCCTCCTTCTGCTCATGTCAAAGACTTCCTGAGCTGTTTTGTGACTGTTTAGTCCACAGCACTGGAGATTTGAAGCAGCATGTTTTCTCTGACAGCCGAGGGCTTTCAAACTGTTGGTTTCTGTCTGCTGACTGCCACTTCAACACACTTTGTCTCTCGAACAGCTCACCTTCCTCTCTCACCTCTTAAAAAATCCAGATATCTTTATTTTACTAAATTAGTTCAATCCTGCTAATTTTGTTCTCAAGCTATAACTGTGTTAATTTTTCTTTTGCAGAGAAAAGAGGTGACCCTAAAAATGGTATGTTGAACTTTTAATGTTGATGATACAGATTCAGTTATACTTGCTGCCTGAGCTCTGAGTGGCAAATGGTTGTTGTTTTTTTGTTTGCCCCTTGTCTGTTAAAAAAAATAATACAACACTTGTAGGCTGTCAACAGTTACAAAGATCCTGCACCAGGCCTCCAAATATGCACCTCAAGGGTACCCATATACATTCTACACAGTGTCCATTTCACTGCTGCAGCTTCATCCAGAACATAACAAAATTATACACAACAGAGGCATCTAAGTGAGTGTGACTGAGGGCCTCCAGTGGTCTTGTCTGTTCTGCATTCAACTGACAGACCTCTTGTGCAGTAAAGTGACCAAGTGAGGTCTGTAGTTCTGGGGTCTGTCTGGATTGAAAATGATTGTTGTAGTGTGTGTGAGGTTCAGTGACTATAATGGACACATGGGTGAATTGAAGTTCTGATCAGAAAATGTTGTGTACCTAGAGTGCATCTGTCTGGATACAGAAGCATGTGGTCCTTTACAGGACAGCTCACTGTATGACTGAAGAAATGGTGGTCACTGAGTGTCTTATACAACAATAGAGGAGCCCCAAATGTTGAGTTGTTGTGTTTCCTCTCGTTGTGCCATAGACATTGTGATCAC